GGCCACGGGCTCTCCGGGCAGGGAGACGCGGGCCGGGGAAGGCGACAGGACCCCGCCATGTGCTGGAGGACAGCCGCTGTCACTGTAAGACGAGATGATAAACTTGGAAATTAGCCCCATCGGTCACCCTTGTCTTTAGTAACGAGGCCAGGGCACAGCAGGAGCCAGGAAGCGTAGCACCGGCCGCCTGTTTCTGCCTCCGCACTAACGGAGACTTTGAGAAATAACGACAGAGGTGTTTGGCTCTCAGGAATCGTGGACGAAGAAGCGCTTATTGATGGCTGCACGGCCAGGACGCATCAAAGCCTGTTTGCTTGAAACTAAGGCTGGCAGTGAGGCCCCCTCCTCCGCCGGGACCAGGTAATGGCTGAGCAGCTTTCCAGAGCCTCATCACACAGCCAGAAAAAAGTAACCGTTCCCTGCTGCTAATTTCAAGCTGGGCACCTCTTTCTGAAATTAATAATACTACATACAGACTCCAAACAATCAGAATTAGGTTAATCCATTTGAAAACAAACAGCTGGATTTAAGAAAGTAGCTGTCTACATTTAAACGCTCACAGAAAATACAAAATCCTCCAATTTCGCTTGAAATGTATATCATAGACAAATTGAACTTGAATTTCCAGGTTATGTTTAACACATTATTCAGAGGTTTCCAACAGGTTTTGAATTACATGCTTTTTGCAAAAGCAAAACAAACAAAGAACTAGTTATGTACTTTGGTGTCAAGCTTTAACCTGAAGTACAAAAGGAGACTGAACACACGATTTAGAAGAATTGCCAAGAGATTCTGTACATCAAATGACCGTGCAAAAAAATAACTGGAAGTCCACCAAAATGACTGCAAACTGGTCATAGTGGGACAAAACACATTGGTGTACACATGCAGAAGGGCTCTGCATTGCTCAGCACATCAGGAAACAGGTGCAGAGAGAAGAATCCATGGAAACAGCATCTCTACATGTGTGCTATTTTAAAGAAATATAGATTTTTAATTTAAAAATTAGGAGATAAATAGTTCTGGAAGTAACATTAGAATATCTTCACTCTTGATTACACGTTGAAAACCTGAGAAACAGTAATTCATCTTCATCTTAGCAGAAAAGTGTTCTTATCAGGGCTCTTGACAGTTTATCTAAGCTGCCTGTTCTGCTATTTAGGCTATTCACTCCCCTTTTCTTGGAAAAATGCCACCAGCCTCCTTTCAGCCTCCTCTTCCCACCTCCACTGTTTTCCAGAGATGTTCACAAAACCTTCATTACTTGTCACAGGACTCTACCATCTTAATGCAGTAAATATCCATTTGAACATCTCATGAAATTAAAGAACTAATCACAAAACTAGTTCTAAACAAGTGTCCTAGCAGTGAAGTAATCTTGTTCTGGAGACAGTTAGCTCAAGTAATAACTTTTCTTTGAAGCAGAGTGGGTTTTTTGTTTAGGACACCCTTGACTCTTTGAGCACTTAATTTGTCTTGTATAATCTCTTCAAGACAGCCAGTATTTCTGTTATAATTTATAGTACCCTAATTATGTTCTCATGTATTTATCTTTTCCTGTTGGAATATTTAGTCGGTATGTTCCAAAACCTCAGTGTTTTTCCTCTGTGTAAGATAATGTTTTTGTACTTCTTCTGCAGTCCCTCTTTGGTGGCAATGCTGAAACCTTTGATATAGCTGCAACCTGTAAATCCATTTGCTCCAAATTAGATTTTTGTCCCTCAGGCACCCCAGATGGTCTTTATACAGAATAGAGCCAAAGGAAAAAAAAAAAAAAAATCAACCAGGATATCATTTTCACTTGCAAACTGCAAGGAACTACATAGAATTATAAAAACATAAGAGCATGATGATCTGTATGTAAGAGCCTAGCCTCACTTCTCATTCATACAGATTAATTCTGAATTTTCTCAAACAGGCCTAATCTGTCAGTTGAAGCTGAGAAGGACACTAGTACTTAGTCACTAAACGTCCTCTGAATCTGGTTTGAGAGGAATGGTTGTTAGCTCTAGAATTATAAATTAAGCAGTACTGCAGCATGTATTTTCCTGTCAAATATCAGTGTGCACTAGTGTTTTCTGGCAGTAGTGCTGCATTATATTTATTTTGCTATCACATTTAATTGTATGCACTGCAGCTTTAAAGGGGAAGTACAGGAATTGCATACAGTTGTCTTTCTCATCCCGGTTACTGAAGGATAAAATAAGTTTCAGCACTTTAGGTTTGTTTGATTCATGACTTTCTCCTGTGAGATGCTTTTATTTCAGCGCAGTCTTATAACTGGTTACTCTCTGTATGGTACAAAAGTAACATGCTTCTCTAAAAATAACCTGCTTAATTTGTGGGCATATTGAACTGAATACAACTTGAATTATCAGTTACAGATTGTAATGTGAAAAATACCTTTGAGCTGAAGTTTCTGAGGAACCCCATTGACTTGGGCCTCCTTTGAGCAAGGGGTTGCACTAGATGATAACCTCTAAAGGACCTTTCCAACATAAATTATTCTATGAATCCCGGAGACTGTTAAGTAGATGTACCACTGTGTAAGGAAAAAAAAACCACCCAAAACTTTAGACAGACTAAATCAAAGGACTTTTTTTTTTTTATGCAGTGAGAGAATAATAATAATAAATATTCGATGTAATGGAGAATAATGAGAAGAATATTTCAGAACTTTTTTCAGAAGTAAAAATCATTTTACTAGACTAGTCAAAGGGTTTTAATGGGAATTATTCCCTACAACAGTTTCTGTGCATGGCCAAACCGGGTTACGCCGGTCTTGAAATCTTGCTGGGGAAAAAAATCCTACAAAAATAATTGACCAGATGTTACACATACTTTAAAAGAAATTTCCTATATAAGTAAAGATCAGTAATATTACACCACTTATTTAAAACCTGTTTGCAATCCAAACTATGATTGAAATAGCAACTCTCAGGCTGTCTTTACTTGCATACACTGTTATTAGCACTTCACTGTTATAATAGAAGAAAAACAACTGTAAAATTGTACAGACAGCTCCCTATTTCTACTACTCGTAAACCAAATGAAAATAAAGAAAAGCTCATTGCTATTGTATTCCAAAACCTGAAAAACAAAGAAACACAAACGGAACAGAATTGAACCATTCCAATAACTTGAAATACCTGAAAAAAAATGTCTGGATTGCCAGTTTGCAAGCACACTTACGTATGTTTCTTAGCTATTGAGTAAACAATGCTGCTAACAGTGTATGCAATGCTTAAAATGTTAGCCAAGACTCAAGTTTATGCCATCACAGATATCAGCATATAAATTTCTAGTATTTTCTGAAAGCTAAACCAAAACACATTGAACTGGGGTCTAATTTAGTTAACACATCTTCTCAACACTCACTGCCACCATAACCCCCCTTCCTTCTTTTAGGTCCCATGCATACAAAGTACACAACCCCTTTCTATATGCCAACCCCACCCTGTGATTAAGCAAAACACTTTACATACTTGTGAACAGAAAAAGTAACAGGAAATTTGGAGCCATGTTTTCCTTTCTACTTTAACTGTGCATCCAGATGCCTGTTCTTTGAGAGACAACTCTTGCCCCAATGTGGAAAATATGTAATAAAATCCTGAGAAAGGCATCGATTTTCTTTTGTAGTCTTACCTCACTCACCCTGCAGAGCTCTTTTACCGCATGTCACAACCAGTGCAATAGCCTTCGTTTCCCTTATGGAGAGTAACACACACAGACACCCACCCCCACCCCCCTCCCGCAATCACCGTTTAATGCAGAGGGAGGCTGGCACAGGCAGAGATAAATACAACAGACAGAGCTTTGGATGCTCACGTTATACTGATCTATAGTCTTGCATTAAAGAGGATTAGAGGACATCCCCCTACATTAAAAGATGTAAATAAATGTTTTGCTCTACGGCCGTGTGGAGCCGCATCCTGGGGCGGAGGGGAGGCCGCGAGCTGCTGCTGCAGGGTAGCAGTTTCCGAACGCCGCCGAAGCGCGGAGGCTTTCCACTCGACGGGGCAGATACGACTCAGACATCCGTACGCACACGTACAGGCCCAGCAGAGAGTGAAAGGTAACCCCCTTCCCGCAGGCGCCCAGAAGAAGGCCTGCCCGCACGGAGTCGGACCAGCCCCTTTCAGCTCCCGCCTGAGGCGGCGCCGCGCCGGTTTTCCCCACATAAAATCGTTGCTTATTTGCATACATATTGTATACCATAGAGCACTGTTGCTTCTAGCGAATCTCAAATGTGTGTCTCAGTATGCCAAAGTATGATCAGCCATGCTTTCAGAATAAAATGCAGGAGTACAAACAATTGCAACCTGTGGTACACAGATCAATGCATCGCAGCTCAGCTACCTCCTGCACCTACCAGTATATCTGTATCAGTCCCCTGTGCCCTTCCAGAACACAGAAGAGAAAGCCAGAACCCTGTAGTGCATTACCAATACAAATTAAATGCTCCAGAGGAGGCAAATGAGTGGCCTGAGAACTGAGCCTGGTTTTGTATGTATATATATAAAAAATATATTTATACTTCTGTATAAAAGACTTTATGGGGTGGTCAGGTTGTTAGCAGGCTCGGCCCAGTTGCTTTGGTTATGTTGAAGCCAATGCCCGTTAGACCTGCTAGTGAGCCCTGGGCTGCTGGTGCCGCCTGGGAGGGTGGCTCTAGAAAGCCGTGTGCACAGAGGACCACGTTTCTTCACTTACGTGACTCCTGTGGAGTTCATTCATCATTAATTAGGGCCTTATTTTTAGGTTTAGTGGGTATGTATCTTGGTAAATATTTATGTGTGCTAAAATGTACTTTTTAATAAAAGGTGGGAGAGTTGGAATGCACTAATGGTTATGACTCTAATGCCATGTTGGATTATGTTAGATTACTTACAAAATGCAGGCACTAATAACAAGTGTTACTGTTAGCTCACAGTAAACGTAAAGCAAAGGCCTAGCAGAACCTTTCCTCTTGCACAGCATAGTAATTACTCAGCTATTTCCTGCTAGTTGTTAGATTGTAGAAATTGTATGGAGCCATCCATACACAAATCTAGTTATAAAATAATCAGAATTGTAAGATAAAACAAATGGTAGATGAGAGGCAAGAAAGCAGGCATTTGAGCGAGAAAGGCACTTGCCAGGAAAGCTAAGGAAGATTAAATATATTGCAGTTGTGTAAACAGTATGTAGTTGTGCTGGATGGAGAGTTACAAATTATGAAACTTACATTTTTATGTTTGTGTAGGATTTATAATTGTTTATAAAAAGGTTATTTACATCATTGTATGTGGAGGGAGCAGCTAGTGCCTAATTTTGCTAATTCCTATGTTTTTGTCATTCTCTGACTAGAACTAGGATCAGGTCTACCCCTGCTTAATTGCGAATTGACCACCACTGAAATCAGCAAGCTCTGTAATTTGATATGTTACAAAGTGCTTCAGGAAATAAGACTTAACTTTTTTATTTTAGCATTAGCGAAATATTATGGATAAGAGCTTTCAAGAAGAACGGTTTACAGGAATTACTACATTTACACCTCCTTTGTACAAACAACGCTACCAGTTCATTAAAGATTTAGTGGGCAAATACAAACCTAAGAAGGTTGGTAATTTTTGTCTTTTTACATTATAAATTTGGAAAAAAAGTTAACTTTAGATATCTCAGGAAGACAGGAAATGCCTAGATAACCTGCTGACCTAATTATGAAAGCAGTGGAGGAGCTGTTGTTAAAACTGAATTGCCTTAGCAAACACTTGATGATCATGTTTTGTTTTTCAGGCGTGCATATAATTAATGTTAATTGGTGTGAAGAGGGGAAAGTCTAAGCATGCCTTAGCTTGTTTTGGAGAGCATATGGCATTCTGGTTTTGATTTAATGCTGAGGATTTTTTTTCAAGCTGTTTTAATCATAGCTTGATTTTGCTTTCTAGAGCTGTTTGTTCTGTATATGGTGCTAGGTTGACCTCATCATTCACATGGATATTCTCAGATGAGGAGTGACATTAGGAGTGTAGGATTATGTGAGGCTTTCTTAAGGTCTTGTCACACCCTCCTATTCCCTCTCCCTCCCCCACCATATATCAGGGCTCTTGTTTTGATACTCATCTTGAAAAGTTAAATTATTTAAGTAATGTTGTGGAGTGTTTGCTCTTTTCTAATATGTCCTTTCTCCCAGCACTTCCTTCCAAAATGTAAGAAGTTGAGAAATACCTCTGTCTTCAGTGTTTAACTCTGAAACTGTTAATGTCTTAGAAAGCATGCAAGAAATCGATGAGAAATGCACCTGCAGTGCGCTCACATAATCATACTTCTAGTAGCTAGTAAAAATCTAATCCAGTCTATAAGCTCATGGCACTATAATCTGCTTTTAAATAGAGTGTATTCAACAGTGTTGCATCTGTATTTAAAGGTTTGAATTTTCTGATTTAGGATATGAAATAGGGGGTGTGTAAACTACCTCGTTACCCACAGGGTAGAGGTAAGCCGAATAGAAACAATTCAGGATTTTCACACGGAGTACTGAGCAGTGTGCTTCAGCCTTGACTTCGCCTAAGAAAGAACAGGTTTGCGTACTCAACTACCCCTTAAGCTTACAGGAAAAAGTATCTATTACATACTTGACTTTGTAGCATGAATATCCCCAGCCTTCCCCACTTAAACAGTAGACTGAGCCTATAAACTTGTTTTGTGCAGATCCTTTGCTGCTAACCTGGCTGCTGGTGAGCCTGTTCTCGGTGTTTTGAATGGAGAGTAGGCCAGTGAAAAGCAGTGGTGAATGTGAAGATTGCTACAGCTTTAATACTTAAAAATCATACCTTACAGGTATTTGAGGGAACATGCCTTCATGTGGAAGACTTCGTCCGGAGTCAGTGGGATGTTCTACATGTGCTTTTTTATAGCTGTAATAAGAAAAGGTTGATCCATTTAAGACGTTTTGTAGGATCTTCATACACATTTTTAAAAAGAATTTTCAAATCCATGTTTATCCTGCTTGCAACTGTAAATTGTAGTTATGATTGTGAAATCCTTTATCATTAAAATTTTTTTTGATGTAAATATGGAATTTTTAATTTTATGAAAGTCTCTGATATTACTTGGAAATATGCAGTATTTACACATTGTTTAATATCTGATTTACAGGTGGCAGATTTAGGATGTGCTGACTGTACACTTCTCCAGATGCTGAAATTCTGCAGTTGCATTGAAGTATTAGCTGGGCTAGATATCTGTGCAAGTGTAATGAAAGACAAAATGTAAGCTCTTGCATTGTGTTAATTCAGGGTTTGGATTTGGCTTGACCTAGTGTCATGTTAGATCATTTCTTGTCAAAAATTTCTAAATTAAGGTAAATTCCAAAATGCCAGCTTGGCAAATGAAGAGCTATGCATTGTTGCTATTTAGTTATATGACACCTGTGTCTGGGGGCTGCTGGACTGTAGATGCCCATAAGATCACGGAATGTAGCAAAGGTTGAAGTCATAGAGTGGCCCTGGAGGTATGTACATCTGAGAAGTACGCTGTTTGTAAAGGTACTAACATTTTGTGTTAGTAGTATCTGTTCATACATGACGTTACTCTGGTATGTAAATCTAATATTTTTGAAATGTGCATGTAACTCTCTTTTAGTCATTATAGTGTGGACTTCCTTCTTTAGTACTAATCTTTTTGAAATGGCTCTAAAATGTGAAGTTTATGTGATCTTTGAAGCATGGGTCAGACTGGTGAGGAACACCAAAGTTTCTGTCTTGTAAGCTGATTAATACGGTTTCACTGAATATGTAGGATCTAGAAGCTGACATTACCACCTCTTCTTAAGAATGAAAAAAGTAGCCTTTTATTATACTTCATGTTTATTATGTGTTTTGTCTGATACAGTATTTCAGAATGAAATTTGCATATATATTTTAGTTCTCAGTCTGTTTTATTTGGAAAAAAAAGGTTAATATGCTTGCCTAATAATTTCCCCAAAAACCCTGTAAAGAGTGTATAAGCCAGACTTACTATGTGTCTAGAGTTGAGATACTATCAGAATTTCCTTTGCTTTTTCTGTCCTATTGTAGATAGTCATAAAAAGTGTTTGTATTAGAAACTTTTCTTTAAAATAGTTAACCTTTTTGAGATTTACAAGATATCTATGCAGGCTGTTAGCTAGTTAAGTTACGTGTGCAATTTATCCTGTCCAAAAGTCCTTTCTATGACATCGTGGTTTTAATACCTTTGTAGGCATAGGTTGTCTCCTCTTCCTGGTGATTATTTGCAACCGGCTGAAAGATCCCTAACTATTACCTTGCATCATGGTTCAGTTGCCCATAAAGATCCTTGCATGCTTGGTTTTGACTTGGTAACGTGTATTGAACTGTGAGTATTAGGCCAACATACTACACTTTTCTCAGTTATTAGGGTTCAATGTGGAATTTTGTCTGATCTCAAAACAGACTTGATCACACCTTTCAAGCATAAGAGTAGCAGAATGTGGCATCTTCTAACTTAAGAAGTTAGAGCGGCTTAAATTAACTGTACTAAGAAATTCAAGTGGTGGTAGTGTATAGTGGAAAAAGTATATTGATGAAAAAGTATAAAATGGAAGAGAAAATTTTCTCAGACAAAAACCTCTAAGCCTCCATTCAGCCACAGTGCCAGTGGTAGTATTGCAGAACTAGGCTTAAAATTACAAGGTACAGATACGGGTTTGGGTTTTTTTGACTGGTTGTTCAGAAGATTGAAATATAGTAGGGTGTTTTTAAACACATACATAAACTTATCCCTTACAGAATAGAGCACCTGGAACAATCGGAACTGAAGAAGTTTCCTGAAGTGGTGTTTGGTTTCATGGCTCCAAGCATAGTTGTGATCAGTACTCCAAATTCTGAGTTTAACCCTTTGCTTCCGGGAGTTACATTATTCAGGCATCCAGACCACAAATTTGAATGGAACCGAGCACAATTTCAAAGCTGGTAAGTTTATGGAGCATTGCATGCAGACAGCTTTGAGCATTCAGTAATGTGAGAAAGGAATAGCTATACGTTTTCAGAATGGTTTGTGTAGGTGGTTTGGTATCAGTGGAGTTTCACAGCTACTGATTTGGTGAAACATTTCTTTGCTGTTATAAATAGTTAAGCATGCTCTGTGGGTTTTACATTTTATGATGGTTGTTAGTTGGCGTGCTTTTACTGTAACTGCTCTGCAAAAAATACTTAAAACTTTTACTTTCCTTCTTGCGTATCTTCATTACAATTAATGCATTTGAAGTGTAAGGTATTAACCTCTTCATGTAATAATACCCTACTATAGAAATGCTTCAGAAAAACCTAAGAAATGCGCTCACTATTTATGGTGCGTAATCAAAGCACTCAATTAGTCCAGATATTTCTGTAAGTGTGTACAAGCAGATTTATCAAATAATCACAGTAGCAGAGCACACTGAATAAGAATAGTTCAGTGGATCATAGCACAATGAAAGATTTTCTGCAAAACATGTACCTGACATAGGGTTGCATGAGATGTATTTACTCTAATATCAGTAGATGTAATAAAAATAAAATAAAGAGGGAGTGGGATATATATCCTGTGATAACATGAACTGTCAGGCAATTGTGGAAGAAAATACATGGTACACTAAAGAATGCTATTACCTCAATAGCCAACTCTTGGTCTGAAATTGTGTCTTGGAAAATTTGCCCCTTAGATTAGGTTGTTTCTGCCATAGACTTTAAAGTATGCAGTGATTTTTCAGTATGTAGTTTTGCAAACCTTGAGGCATATATTTTTTCGCTAAATAATGATACTGAAACCTGCCTGCATTATTAGGTAAAGGATTAATACCTTGGAGACAATTTATATGACTTAAAGTACATTTAGATTCTGCTTTTGGATATATGTGAAATAAAAATATTGATATCACTGAAGGAGTGGTATTTTTTGAGCTACAAACATGAGAAAGTCGTTACGTTTGTGTTGTGAAATACAAGTACTGCAATACTCATAAATATCATTCTCTAAATGATATGTGATGTTAATTTAGTTTACTACTTTCTCATGGAGAATGATGCAGGTAGGTAGTGCCACTTTAGTTCCTTGCCCCATCACTTTTCTTCACACTGGCTGATGTACAGTGCTACAAGATTGGTTTTCATTTAGATGTCATGTATATTGTAACCTTAATTAGGTAGACTTTATACATTACAACAAACCTCACTTTTTTCCTGTTAACTTGTGTCTTGTGGTTTTGGGGTGTCTATATTTTTTTATGGGTTCTCACATAATTTTGTTCTCTAAAATTGGTAGGTATTAGCTCACTTTCAATGCATTTAAGGGAGTGAGTAAGCAGCTGTGAATATGGATATTCTATGCAGATATTTTAGAAATAACAGTCATGTTTGGTTGCCTAAATTACCAATACTAAATGATTCAAGCTTATCAGCACTTATCTTCAGGCAAGTGAGTATTATTAGAGAAATTATGCTCAAGCATTCACAGGCTCAGGGTCTTCTGTTAGAGAATGCATCTTTATCACATTAAAAGATGAATACTTAGTATAATTGGAATAATTTGTCTTTCTTAGGGCTCTAGAGGCTGCGAGACGCTATGATTACTCAGTGGAATTTACTGGCGTAGGGCACCCACCAACAGGAATAGAGAATGTTGGGTTTTGTACACAAATAGGTGTGTTTCTTAGAAAATATCCTCAAGCCAGTGAACCTGTTCAGTCTGAGAAACCCACTGAAGCAGTTTACAAAACAGTAAGTATTATGTCCTTCCTTTAGGAGGATGAATAAAGAGTAAAATTTTCTATGACCTGCCTGTGAAGATGTGGTCTACTATTGCTATCCAGTCTTAGCTCTGATTAACACGCACCATCAGATCAAAAACAGTCTTAAGTCCATCATTTGTGTTTCTAGTTGTATAAAGGCCTTTAACTTTTAGGTTATTTGTTAAATAGCAATGTGCATAATCATTCTTATTTTGACATACTGTTATCCTTAAAATGAAAATTCTCCTTTCCACCAGGTGTACTGTGATACTATTTTTATAATTATTCCTCTAATCATTAATTTTTTCATCATGTGGTTGTTGGGAGTGACACAGATTTTTCCAATACATAAAAAATAGAAATAATAAAAAAGGATTTCTAACAGACTGTATGTTTTGAAGAACTGCATAGTTTTGTCAAATATATTATCAGAAGGGAGGCATTTCCCAGAAATTGGATGGACAGGACCCGTTTTGTGTGGTTTGCCTTACTCAGTAGCATTTGATGTTACACCCTAATTTGGTGTTTTCAGGTAGGCAGTCTGGTTTTTGCAGTGGCATGGGATCTTGCCAAGTACCCCATTCTCCAGCTGTGCACATCAAATGTTTTTGTTTTTTAGCACAAAATAGCTTTCACTTCAGATAACATTTTTGTAAAGTACTTTGCTGTGTGTCACACTGACAGCGCTTAATGCATCTAAGTGCCATGTGGTGTAAATCAAAGGACATTTTTTTCAGAGATAACATGAAGTAATAATGCAAGAAGATAAATGTTTTGGGGTTGGGTTTTTTGTAGTCTTATGAGGCCTTAAATAGTGTTTTCCAGTGAACATATTCTGATATTTCACAACTTTGTTTAAAGATATGTATGTACCTTCAAGTGACTTCTGACCTGCAATGAAATGTAAAGTGATATTATAGGAATGTCTTTGATAGTTTTCAAGCTATAAAGACATTCTATGCAATTGAAATTTCACCTGTCATCTGCTGCCCTTAGTGGAATCATGAAGTGCTCATTAATGCTCAACAAACTTCGAAATACGTCTAAGTGACTCACGTACTAGAAATTGCTTTCATTATCTTCTGTTACAGGATCATTATGGAGGGAGTTTTGACATCAGTATCCTTTGAATTTAAACAAGAGTGTTATATCTCATGTGTTTCTTGTCAAATCTGGACTATTAAATTAAATTTTATTATGTAACTAATTTACGGGAATAAATCACCATTGCAAGATCTAATCAGAAGGAAAGAAGAAATATACAGACTGTGAAATTTCAGTGACAGTGTGTTGATATAAAGCACTTACTAGTAAACTAGTGGGAATGAGATTGCCTGCCTGGTTTCCTTAATTGCCTTGGAATATAGCTCAGTGTAGAACACACTACAAGTTTACAGATTTTGAAGTCACAATTTATTTTTTAGCATTCTCTGCATATGTGAGAGCGTATTTAATGTCTTACTCTGAAATCAGAATAAAAGACATAGCTGCAGTCCCAGTTTCCAGATGACAGTTCAAAAATAGTTTAGCATCTACATAGCTGTGGAACTGTCACCAGAGCCTCGTGCGTAATGTGGAAAGTAAAAGAATGGTTAAAGAGTTAAAGAATTGCAGGGCTTCACCTTGCCTGATCTACACCTATAGCTTGCAAAATATAAGCCTGATTTTTTTTGAAGTTCTGTTAACTTATCCAATTGCCATTGTAGTTGTAATACATAAAATCAAGTCATATTGTCTAGTTTTTCTGTTATCTGAAAGTGTTTAATAAGCGAAACAGGATTAAATCAAAAATTATGTTCACATTTTAGAAGCTCTTTTTGATAGACAGATGTTAAAATCTGAGCCTGTGGTAATGCTAAACATTTTATGTGTTCTTGTATGTTATAAAGGTCTTCAAAGCAGTGTATCCAAGTCTTAAAGATGAGAAGTACCTGCAGAATGCAGTGGTCAGTGAAGTTATTTTCACAGCACAAATCATTAAGCAAAGTCTGCTGGACCATTTGATGTCAGAAAATGAGGGGTATAATCATGCTTCCGCTGAGAGAAAATCCAAATTCCGACCTTCAATGAACTGTTTTTCAGAAGATCTTGGAAAGCTGATTGTTGAAAAAAGCATAGAACCATTTGTCAATGGAAATGTGGTTTATATACCTCTTAAAACAGTCTTTTCTTTTCCCAAAGTGAATCGACTTTGTGGAACCTTTGAGAAGTTATATAAGCTTATTGCTGGCAAGGTCACACTAAGCAGTGATGGTTCTGCTCTGATGTTCAATATTGAACATGAAAATGAAGAGTATTAGATCACAGATTTCCCGTACAAAGTTTAATTAAAGTAATGACAGTATTTTTTTAGCAGCTGTCAAATGGTATGTTCCGTATGCTAACTAGAACCACAAAATCTTTTCTGAAACTGCTGGTATTTGTCCATCACTTCTCATTTGGTGAAGATGAGTGCATCTGACAAAGAGCACAGTAACTCATAGGGTTTTGAAGTAGAATATCAGGAGCTAAAAGGAAAGAATTAATTCCCATCAAGAAAAATTGTAAGTATTTCTGTTTGTTTTCTGTTACTGTATTGTAGCTGTCATGACTAGATTCTTTTTGGTAGTCTCTTGTTAGCTGCAAGGGTAGTTGATGATAACGCAGAACTATGTTGTTCTGAATAAGATGGATCACACATAGGTTTAAGGCAAGTTTTTTCATAATAGAATAAAATTTATAGATGCCTTTTTCAAGATGAGCACATACTGAGCCTTTGTGAAAACCAAATATTATTTCAGATAAATTGGGATATGCCACAAACATTTATAGCTCGGTAAATTCAATACTGGCATAGAGTGCCATGATGTTGGATGTACAGTGGAAAAAAAACCCAGGTAGGTTTAGCCCTATTGTTTTATCCAGTTTCTTGATAACTGCTGCTTGGGAAATGATTTGCATCCTGTAATTTTCCAGAAGCTGAATTTAATTAATTTGAAACTGGTATCTTTGTCTATTCTGTTTTTGAAAAAAATAAAAAAATCTGTCATTGTGAATGCTAAACTGGCCTCGGTGTATCTGAAAAATAAATTCTGTGTTTTCATGTGTAGCTGTTGTCCAGAAAGTATTGACATGTTCAGCAGAAATGAAAAGCACAGGTGTTATAGATGGTAGAGTTTACTGGCTTGGCCAGGATCACTTTTTCTTAGGTAGATCTGAATTGTATGTGTAAATGCACAGTAAGCAAATGTTAGATGATGGATTTATGAAGACAGAAATTTTGAAAGATGCACAGGATTGGCTTGTTTGTACAGAATTAATGAAGCAACATGCTGCAGTTGTTTTTAAGTTTCTTCACATACCCAAATATTTTTAACCAGTAATTTTAAAATCTCAGCTAAGTATTTCTGATGAGTAAATAGATGGTTGAGTAGAAGGCCTCATTCTGTGTAAGTTTCACAGTGTCATTGGCAGCTTTGAATGAGCTAGTGTTATCAGAACTGACTTCATGTTTGTAAAACATGAAAGTTTCACAACTTTCTGAAAATAAAAAAATTCTTTGTAAGGGCTGAATTTATTAAAGAGGCTGCATTCTACCTTCTAAATTTTTGGAATTCACTTGAAATGATTAAGGTGAAAGATCAGGCATAAAGGGAGAAGGCAGCTGTAATTCTCTGAATTGAGAAATGGTACAGAATCTATAACAGTTTGAGTTTCAGGGAAAGAAGAATGATTTGCAGTGCTCTGCCATGCTGAATGATTAAAAAATTATTACTTAATAAGCTTTGTCTTTTGTGGGAGATTTTTTCCTCCTGCAATGAATAGACATGGATTATTAAAATAAATTTATCATTATTTCTAATTTTAAGAATTAATTTAATTAAAATTAATCTTTTATATGATATTTAGAATGTTTTCACTTTTTTGACATTGTTATATGAACTTGTCATCGTTGGAATGTTAAAATATATGTAAAATTCAAAATTGGTAAATACTCTTTGGACATTAATAAACATAGCTGTTTGAGAGCAGCATTGGTTTGTTATTAGAAAGTGTCTCTGCAGTTGACTATGTGGTTTACTATAGTTAGAAGATTTTTGAACCACAGAAGTTCTTCCTGTGTTCTTTCTTTTTGAAATGTTTTATCTTTAGCATACTTTATAGCATGATCACTTTTAAAATGAGAAAAAGGGAAGAAAAGGAGGACCTGTCAGATTTGGAAAAATATTTACCTTGAATTTTGTATTCAGGTAACACCTAATTACAGGAATGTCTTGCAAACAGACAAGACTGGAAACAAGTACATGTTTGTTTTTTCTCAAAACATTGTACCCTTAAGGCTTTGTAGCTATATTTGGAAAGTGGTTGATGTGAATATTTAGTGGACTGATGTGAAAGGGCCTAAACCGTAATCCAAATTTTAAAGGTTTCATGGAACTTCTCTGCCTTTGTGGTAACAGGGTTTAGTTTTTAATGATAGCTAGGGCAAATATAAATGCTTACATTCTTGCTTAAGCCTTTGCTGAGGAAAATCTAAAATCAAACTACAGATGTCTGGGCTTATCTGTTCACAGCATTCGTTAGTATATATACATATACTGAAACTGAAGAAGCTATTACATACCATATACAGAAATGCTATTTGGAATATATACATTTTAATTGAGACTGCTAACTCTTACTAAAACAAGGCACTCTATTTTGTGTGCCAGGTTTCCACTGGCTTAAATCAATTTTAATCAAGATTTTCTTTAAAGTACTGAATTAACTGTCTTTTCAGGAGCTGTTAAACACACTCATAGGATTCACTGTGCACCGCTCATCATTATCAGGCTGGTCTTTTGATTAAGCTGTTATGCATGTTTGTGAATATGTTATGCATATTTGTGAATACACAGTATTTATTGTGTCCCATTTAAACTTGCAGTTTGACCAAGGTCAATTCTGATGTCTCAAATCAGGATGCTGAAAGGAAGTTTATGAAGTGTTTTAGACTCGTGGCAATATCATGGACCAGGAGATTGTGTGTACGCAACAGTGGTGCATAGCCTTATTTTTCATCCACGAGCCTTATTTTCATTCATGAGATGTTTTCCTTCCAGACTGGAAAAGAACCATGTCTAAATGACAAGTTTTCCTTACAACATATATGTCACTAATACAGTGTGAAAACACAGCAGTAGAAAAAGCAAAGCATTTAAAAAAAAAATAAATCTCCTAGTGCTTATATTTTCAATTGCTGGTATTCAGTAAGGTGACTAGCATATATGGATGTTTTATGTACATACGTGTATACCTCATATTTCTGAGAGAACTCTCCACTGTGAGGTCCTTTACAGGAGGGTTTGTTTGCGAATGAGATTTGCCTTTTATTTCATATAGAAACTGTTGATTCATAAAACCAGAAGCGAGACAACAACCCACAAAAATTCTAGGATATTCTGCTGAAATTTTTGAAAATTTTTCTTCCTTTTTGAATTGAAATACAGCTGAGACGAGTTGGTTATACATAGTACAGTTACTTCTCTTAATGCTCACTATACAATTAATTGATTACTGAACTGAATGACAAATAATTTGTACTATAATTAGGTGAAACTTTCACCAATCTGGTTGTCTTTATGTAAGAACAGATGCTTACTGCAGTACCAAAAAGCTTCGTTATTTTGATTGCATTCTGAGAAAAGAAATACATATCACAAGTAGTTTTGTTAGAAAAATAAGGTATTTTACAAAATTACACAAACTGTATGAAAAGTTTAAGTAATAGTAAGTCTTTCCACAGTTGATTTTTATTTGTATAAGACTGACATACTACTTTTCTTCTCCAGGAGACAGATAAATAACTATGTACTAGTAACGGTGCCATTATATACTTTGTGGACTGGAGATGAAGTTTTGGTGGGGGGGGCGGCGCGGCGGGAACTCGCTCGCGGCTCGGGAGCGTGCGGCGCTGGTGCGGTCCGAGAGAGTGGGTCTGTTTTTTTGTCGTGTTTTCTCCTTATTTGTATCGTTGTTGTTCCTGTTCCCTCAAAAAGAAGTAATTGTTTAGAAACATATTGCAAGCTGAATACATGAGTTTATTGAATATCTGAGACATTTCCATTTAAATACAGTATAAAAAAAAAACAACCACCAACACATCCCAGTTTACTTTAGGAGGGTCTCCAGTATTCTTATAGCACTGTTTACAAAAAAGAAAATGCTACATCCAAATACGAAGGTTATGTTCTACTTAAAATATGCACAATTAGAGAATCACTTCATAAAGAGTTGTAACTCAAAGTGAGAACAATAAATTACTAGAATACAGTTCTATTAAAAGCTTGATTTCCATGTAGATTTCTCTCCTATTTAAAAGATCTGCTCGGGCAAGAAAATAATTGGTTTCTAGTAAACAGAATATCTAATGTATGGCAGTTAGCTGTGTCTTGTAACATAGAGTACACATCTGGGCTATGGAAATTCCCGTAAGAGTTACATAGGTGGCTGGACAATGCTATTTAACAGTCTGTTTCGCCTCAAACTATGCCTATTTTTCCTAGTAAACTTAAGTAAACTATCATCTAACTACTACTGGTTTAAATAGATCAACAAGTGTAGCAGTGTTAAAAGAGTACTGAAAGCAATTTATTCAAATTTCATGCATCTTTTGGCTTGCAGTAGGAGTTTTTTGGTACAAATTAGTTATATAACAGGAAGGGGAACTATCATGTTCTGAGAGAGAGTTGTATGCTAGCAGTTATGTAGTTTCTGTTTAAAATTCATGTGGAGGACAGAAATGGATAATACCACACTTCTATGAACAGCAGCTAAAATACAATCTTTGTGGTAATTCTTTTACCCATTAAAACACTTCAGAGAGACTATAATTAACAGTAGGAGATAAAGGTATCTAAGTACCGTAACTGAGAAATATCTCATATTAATCATTTAAATAAGAGTACTCAAGCTTTAAATTCTGAAATGTCCTTAAACACAAATAAAAATTAGTTTAATAACTCTGCTATATATTTATGGAAAACAAATCCTGCTTTTCCTGATTTAACCTATTAAATAGAGCCTACCTATACTTCAATAAAAGGACATCAAACATCACTCTGAGCAGAATTTGAAGCATTCAGAGCTTTAAAAAAGGGCCACACTATTAGTATTTTTCTTTAATCTGAGACTTACTGATAAACAATACAACTAATTTTAAGAAAATTAAGGTCATTTTCAGTTTACAATTAAATACAGCAGAGCCAAACCTGAATTAGGACTGTCACCTAACACATTCCTTTAAAAATCAATTCTTTTGTAATTCTCAATAAAAATTTTA